TGTGACGTCACTCGGTGAATACTTTAAAAGTCATCCCATTTAAAAGGTACATCGATACACCCTTTTTTAAATTACGACGTTCAAACATTTTTAAATTTAAAAGATCATTTTGACCCAAAGAGATAATTAAACACATTTAAAAATTATAGGAGTAAATAAATAGGCAAGTAGTAGGTAATAAATTTAAATACTATGGCCATGTTATCTAAACATTTTTGTTAATTAAGAAATTTGAAATTTTAAGGTATAAGTCGAAATTTATATACAGAGTACAAAAAGTAACGTAACATACTAATATTTAGATTCCTGATAGGTTTGCAAAACAATGTTGAATAAAATTTTATGAAATGAATCAAATTCGCGCGAATTTCGAAAAGTCGGCCGGGCGCGCTAGCTTCGCTCGCCCTCCTCTGTACTGATTAGGAGGTGGGTGGGAGGAGAGTAGCGTGATCTTATAATGTGGGTGGAAAAAAGGTACGTCGGCCTAGTTGCCAAGTTACAGATGATTTAATTTTAGTTTAGATTGAGATATTATGTAAAGAGTTAATCTAAATATAAGAGGCAACTGCGCATATCCTCACTACCGGATTTAGGTTTTTGTTTGGTCGACATCACGATAATTGTTCCTATGGCACTGGTTTCTCCGTAACCGACTTCAGCTACACTAAAGTGAAAATTAAATGACCTGTAACTTGCCAACTATGCATTTTCTTACCACGGGAATTGGGTTTTTGTTTAGTCGTTACCATGACAAGTGTCTTTATGGCAAGTTTCTCCGTAACTGATTACAGCTAAATTAACTCATCTATAACTTGGCAACTATGCATTTCCTCACCACGAGATTTGGGTTTGTGTTTACTGGTTACCATGGCAACGGTTGCCATGGCAACAATTTTTACGCAACTGATTTCGGCTAAACGAAATTTGACTTTAAATTCCGTTTAAAAATCACGAAACTTAAATTAAAATTGACATATAAAAGGTTACCACGGTATATGTGACGTCAACACAGTAACCACAATACTATAACCATGTATGTTGTGGTCAAAGAGGTTAGAAAGGGTAGAGGTAACATAGGAAGCATTTCTCGCTGCGCGAATTTTGCCAAAACCGAAAAACTGGGTGGAAGGAGTAGGGAGATGTTCTGGGCCGGACTTAAATATTTGTATTGTAGTACCTAATTTTGGTGGGTAATTAAAAGATGAAAAATTATGAGACGTTTGTTTGACTTTGTTTGTTAACACGATTCATGTATGATGAGGGCAATAACACTTTATTAATATATAACTAGCTAAGGGCCGATTCCACCGTTGTGTCAAACGAAGTTTAAATTATTAAACGAAGATTAAAATGACATTGTTAATGTAAAAATGTCATTTTAAACTCCATTTAGTAATTTAAACTTCGTTTTCGTTAATATAAAAATGTCATTTTAATCTTCGTTTACTATTTTAAACTTCGTTTAACAAAACGGTGAGATCGACCCTAAGTAAAAGTTTATAAGTACTTTTTGCTCGAATTACACACAAGATTTTTTCTACGATCACACCAAAATAAAATAAATAACTAAGTTTGATAAGAAATGGGTTACCTTTTCGTTCGTTATAATATTTTAAATTTATTTAACATAGGCCTACTGTTTTGGTACTTATATCCTGGTAATTATTTATGATTTAATTATTTACGGAAAATACCGTTCAATGAATTAAAATATTAGAAAGTCAATTAATAGTTATTTATATAACCAGTTACGATATACCTTAGTTTGTGTAACGAGTAAATATTTGCAAACGAGCGGAGCGAGTTCCCGCAACATGAACGACTTACACAAAACGGCATTTTGTAACGTGTTTATATACAAGATTTTTTCTAATTTTGACTTGATTATTTATAAAATTGTGTTGAAAAATGATTCACCATCATTCTTGTGTAGATACTTCCAATCAAATATTTTAGAAAATTGTTGTATTTGATTGCCCTACGACGTTTTTGTTCAATAGTAATAATAAAAATTAGGGCCATGTGTAGTGTTGCCGATCTAATTTTTGACATTACTAGCGAGAAAATTGAAAAAAAAAAGTTTACCTATTAGCCTTAAAGAAGTACGTCAAAATTTTACCCCCAACATTTCTGGGCAGTTTTCAATAACGGTGTTATTTTAAAAATTAAACGCAATTTACAGCTTTTCTTTTTTTGTTTTCTTTTTTGTTTTTAAACGTAATGTCATATTTTCAAATGTGAAATGTCACTATTCATTGCCTCTTTTTCGATATTTGGTTTTTTCGATTTTTCGTTTTTTGGATTTTTGGATTTTTCGATTTTTTATTTTTAGATTTTTAGATTTTTCGATTACTCGAATTTTCGATTACTCGATTTCTCATTTTCTCGATTTCTCGATTTCACGATTTTTCAACTTGGAAACCAAAAAAGAGGCAGTTTTATTTATTTTCATTTCGTAACTGGTGACATAATCAACTTTTCGTAATCAGTTGCATAATGTTCTACTTTATGCAAATGTCCATATAAATATTCATTAAATCTATTTAAGCCAAAAATTATTGCAAGGACCTCTCTTTCAATTTGGGAATATTTTTGTTCGGAATTTGATAAGGTACGCGAAGCAGAAGCTATAGATTTTTCAATATTTTTTTTTTTTCAAGAACATGACATATTATTATCATGGCCCTTATTCCCACATTTGATGCAACTCAGGCTGAAAATGCACAAGAGCATCATTTATTTTTGATTTATTCCAAAGATTCCTTGCAAAAATTATCCCAAATCCATTTCACCCATAAAAAATTAAATAAAAAAAAGTCCTAAAGCAAAATCATATCCTCCTTCCTGTTAGTGACTTAAAAAAATTACGTCCCAAAAAACGGTCCTCAAGCCAGGTCCCTCCATTTTGTGGCGATAGTACTGTTTTTTTATTGTGATTATTTTCTTTGCGGAAACTTTGGCTTTACACTTTGAGTAAAACTGTTATAGAGAATTACTAAATAAATTGTTTTGAGAAAACTATTGAAACCAGTTGTGAAGTTTGAAACGAATAAATTGGCAATGAAATTGATATTTTTGTATTTGATTGTATGTTTCTCTTTTCACTTCCTAAAAAAAGATTCCCTATGAAACAAGAAATAGTAAACAGTTTATAATAATAACCTTTATTTGCTACTTATAACATGTACCAATAACCAAGTTCGATTCTGTTTATTTTCAAATCAACAAATATGGACGTCGACAGAATCTTTAAAAATTAAATATCTCACCGAAATAAATATAAGTTTCTTTTATCTCCGTCACATTTCCCAGGTTTATTATAAATAAAGCTTCTTACAACACATCTTGGCATTTTCAACGTTAATTTCCAAAATTTAAGTCACTAATTAATTCTCGTTGACACATTAAATTTGGATGGACAACGGTCTGACATGTGATGTTCTCAATTGTGATTGGTGGGTGTGAATCATTTTGAAATGGGATTATGCGCAGTGTCTTATGTTCCATCTAAGGTTTGTATAATCTAAGGTTGTGGTAAATTTATAAACAAATGCCTTAAAAGTAGCCACCGAGTGACTTCACAGTTAATCCAGCACAAATTGAACTAATTCAGCTATCCCCTTGTTGATAGTACTCTTTCAACTTGGTTGGCTAGCGTCATTTATCAAACAAATAAATTCACTTGATTCAAAAAAGTTTTAAAAACTTTTGGATAATTCAAAATAATAATAATTATGTTTCAAAGTTTTCGAAAAGTACATTGTTTATTACTTTATAGATGACAAAATATTAATATTTAAAAATTATGTACTACAACAATTCAATCAAAATGGATAAATAAATCATCGGGTGTGACCGGAAATAAATTAATAGAACTGCTTATGTCAAAAATAAGGTATTTTTTATATTTATTTTTTATTGATTTTTTTTTTGGACACTTGGCAACACCGCGCCAATTTTGTATTGACAGAGCATGACAGGTATATTTCTAAATTCTAATAAATGTTTGGAATGTTAGACGTTAGGAATATTTGGAATGCGTAAAATAAGTCGCATAAGCAATTATTCAAGAAAATCAAAACTGCAAGTCGATCAGAACTTTCGTTCTAGAGTTATCATGCCGGCATACATACACACAGACGACCAGAAGAATTTTTTTTTTGTATTTTCGGACTCAGAATGATCGTAAACGTGACAAAAAGTATAAAAAAAATGGGGGTAAGAAATTTTTTTCGTTTGTCGAATCCAATACTGAGGCCCCATAGGAAGGGCCTCAGTAATTAGAAATTTAAATTGTGGATTTAATATATTAGAAATACGAAAGGTCCAACAGGCTTTTTTCAAATCTCCAAGTATTTGTTTTCACCTTTGGGGTTCGGGGATGATCTTAATCGAGGTCTTAATAATTTATAGGGGGATATTTTGGGATTTGTTTCCAAATTTTTAAAATATATTTACAAATTATAGATTTAGTTTCTAACTTTATTAAAAGTAGGAAATACTAGACTTATCCATTATAAATTTTTAAGATTGTTTTGTTTAACTATTTTTTACTGATTACATACAATAAGTATACCAATCGATAGAAAAATGTATGTTCTTTAAATCAATACCCCTAGTTTCTTTTTTTTTCAAAAAATCCACGGTTTCGGACAAATTGGAGAAAATTTAAAAAGTGTTTCTTTGGGGGTGGTTTAAAAAGGATACCTGGGCCCGTATCCTAAATTTGTTTTGAATTTCATACTAAATACTTTTTAAGTAAAGGCAAAACTTTAATAGGCATAGTAACTCACAACCCATTTTTATATGGGAATTCATACCTACTATATTGGTACCACGATAAATGTCACTTTTCCATTTATTCACCTTGGTCTTACTCTATTCACAACGAATTCAATAAATTTTCAATACTTTTATAAAATAGGTTCTTTATTTAAAATAATTAGTGTTCTCATTAAATAAAACTGTTTAGACCAAATGCATATTATTTTATTTTGTAGATTGAATCGGGAATTCGTTTAAAAAAAGTAACAACTAATGATAGGAGTAGACCTGTCCTGGACGGATTAAGAAAATTCAGGAGGCAAATGACAATAGAAGAACAAATTCAGAAATCTATATCCATGGCTAGCATGCCACCAGTAAGTATTTACGTTAGTATTCCCATTATTTAAAGTATGTTATTTATAGTATTAGGTAAAATACTTATTATGCATATCTATTCACCTTGGTGCGAACATGAGAAGTGAAGACCAATTTACATCTGCAGCCAGGCCAAACACCGCATCAAACAAAAGCGAACAATTCTGGCTCGTTTGTGCTTTCCACATTCTTGTTATAAGGCGAGTGTTTTCAGACTTGGCTCGTGTATTTTTGACCCAGTCATACATACCGGAATTGTTGTTAAAATACACACCTCCAGTCAGTATGTTAAGGCTCCAACACTATGGATAGCTTAACCGCATTTAAGACAATATAAATAAAATGGTCTGATCTCTTATTCACCCGTAATCCCTATTAAAACAATTAAATTCCGATTTTAATATCTGTTTGTTTCTGTTTTTCAGTTCTTCGTTTCATTTCTTTGTGGCATTTTTTTGTTTCGTTTCTGTGTTTCATTCTTTGCTTAATTTCGTTGTCTAATTTTTGTGTTTTATTTCTGTTTAATTTCTGGATTTAATTTCTGGAATTATTTTCTGAAATTTGTTTCTGGATTTAGTTTCTAGATTCAGTTTCTGGATTTAATTTCTGTGTTTAATTTCTGTGTCAAATATCTGTGTTAAATTTCTGTGCATAGTTTTTGTGTTTAATTTCTGTGTTTAATTTCTGTGTTCAATTTTTGTGTTTAATGTCTGTATATAATTTCTGTGTTTAACTTCTATGCTTATATTCTGTGCTAAATTTCTGTGTTTAATTTATGTGTTTAATTTCTGTGTTTAATTTCTGTATTTATATTCTATGTTTATTTTTGTGTTTAATTTCGATGTTTAATTTCTGTTTAATTTCTGTTTAATTTCTGTTTAATTTCTGTTTAATTTCTGTTTAATTTCTGTTTAATTTCTGTTTAATTTCTGTTTAATTTCTGTTTAATTTCTGTTTAATTTCTGTTTAATTTCTGTTTAATTTCTGTTTAATTTCTGTTTAATTTCTGTTTAATTTCTGTTTAATTTCTGTTTAATTTCTGTTTCATTTCTGTTTAATTTCTGTTTAATTTCTGTTTAATTTCTGTTTAATTTCTGTTTAATTTCTGTTTAATTTCTGTTTAATTTCTGTTTAATTTCTGTTTAATTTCTGTTTAATTTCTGTTTAATTTCTGTTTAATTTCTGTTTAATTTCTGTTTAATTTCTGTTTAATTTCTGTTTAATTTCTGTTTAATTTCTGTTTAATTTCTGTTTAATTTCTGTTTAATTTCTGTTTAATTTTTGTTTAATTTCTGTTTAATTTCTGTTTAATTTCTGTTTAATTTCTGTTTAATTTCTGTTTAATTTCTGTTTAATTTCTGTTTAATTTCTGTTTAATTTCTGTTTAATTTCTGTTTAATTTCTGTTTAATTTCTGTTTAATTTCTGTTTAATTTCTGTTTAATTTCTGTTTAATTTCTGTTTAATTTCTGTTTAATTTCTGTTTAATTTCTGTTTAATTTCTGTTTAATTTCTGTTTAATTTCTGTTTAATTTCTGTTTAATTTCTGTTTAATTTCTGTTTAATTTCTGTTTAATTTCTGTTTAATTTCTGTTTAATTTCTGTTTAATTTCTGTTTAATTTCTGTTTAATTTCTGTTTAATTTCTGTTTAATTTCTGTTTAATTTCTGTTTAATTTCTGTTTAATTTCTGTTTAATTTCAGTTTAATTTCTGTTTAATTTCTGTTTAATTTCTGTTTAATTTCTGTTTAATTTCTGTTTAATTTCTGTTTAATTTCTGTTTAATTTCTGTTTAATTTCTGTTTAATTTCTGTTTAATTTCTGTTTAATTTCTGTTTAATTTCTGTTTAATTTCTGTTTAATTTCTGTTTAATTTCTGTTTAATTTCTGTTTAATTTCTGTTTAATTTCTGTTTAATTTCTGTTTAATTTCTGTTTAATTTCTGTTTAATTTCTGTTTAATTTCTGTTTAATTTCTGTTTAATTTCTGTTTAATTTCTGTTTAATTTCTGTTTAATTTCTGTTTAATTTCTGTTTAATTTCTGTTTAATTTCTGTTTAATTTCTGTTTAATTTCTGTTTAATTTCTGTTTAATTTCTGTTTAATTTCTGTTTAATTTCTGTTTAATTTCTGTTTAATTTCTGTTTAATTTCTGTTTAATTACTGATTAATTCCTGTTTAATTTCTGTTTAATTTCTGTTTAATTTCTGTTTAATTTCTGTTTAATTTCTGTTTAATTTCTGTTTAATTTCTGTTTAATTTCTGTTTAATTTCTGTTTAATTTCTGTTTAATTTCTGTTTAATTTCTGTTTAATTTCTGTTTAATTTCTGTTTAATTTCTGTTTAATTTCTGTTTAATTTCTGTTTAATTTCTGTTTAATTTCTGTTTAATTTCTGTTTAATTTCTGTTTAATTTCTGTTTAATTTCTGTTTAATTTCTGTTTAATTTCTGTTTTATTTCTGTTTAATTTCTGTGTTTAACTTCTGTCTTTACGAATTTTCGTTGGGGTTATCTGTTTAATACCCAAGTATTTAATTACCACTCGTTGCTCGACATAATCCATTTTGATACACGTTTCAGTAGATTCAAAATTAAAATTTTCTCCTGTGATACTATACATAACAGGTTACAATGTGACATGAAGATAAATAATTGTTTTGATTTATAAATGGGCCAGAGGCGGTGCAAAGGAATCAACTCTGGTATCTTCAGTTTATGTTTTAGTTTAAATTATGCATTTAATTTTCTAATTTCTGCTCTTAGAATGTAACCTTATTTTCTGTGTATAATTTCTGCGTTTAATTTTTACGAAAATTTGTTTCTCCTTATATTTTCGTTTAATTCCTCTGTTTGTCATTTCTTTGTTTTAATTTTCGGGTTTAATCTTTTGCATTTAATTTTTGCGTCTAACTATCTATATATTTCTTAAATTCCAATTTATGTTAGTCCCTATTTTGACAATAACATTTCACAATTTGTACTTTTTTAAAAAACTTTAAAAAAAATGATTGTCAAAAATTAAATTGCAAATATTTTTGCTTCACGGTGAATGGGTCTGAATAATATAAAGTTACTAAAGTCGTACTCAACTCGTACACAACTGCTCAAATTTTAGGAAGAAATCACAACAGATGAAATCGATGAAATGGATGACATTGATAAAGTACGCGATGATCTACAAAGTACGAAACAAATGTTGGCTCTCGAGCTAAGGAATAAAGAGGCACAAGAAAGAGAAAATAAGAGGCTAATGTCTAGGATTCAGAATCTCGAAGCGGAATTGGAAAAAGAGAAAAGTAGAAGTAAAGACGGAGGTACAACTGTTTCTAATAATTCTGCCGATGAAAAGGTAAAATCTATATTAAATTTGGAAGTAAGGGTAGCCATAATAATGGATTGGGATTGAGTACAAGTTAAAAAATGTCCTTTATTTCTCAAAAAGTTAATTTATTGGTGACTGGTTTAATAATTAGATAATTTTCAACTTTCAATACATTGACTCCATGACTTTCAATTTAGGTGTGCCTGATGATGAAGTAATCACTTCGATACCGGTCGCCAATAAATTGACTTTGTGAGAAATAAAGGACCTTTCTTTACAACCTTCGTACTCTATATTAAATTACTTCCTTTTTTTCTGATTTTGAATTTTTTTTAAACAAATATACAATTTTGAAATATTTATACTTAGGTGATTAAAGGACTTAAAAAAGAAGCAGAAGAAGCTAGAAAGACATCTCAGGATTTAGAAAAGAAATATAATAAGGCGGCTGAAGAATTGGACTCTACGAAATCTAAGATGGACGATCTTAAACGACAAAATCAAATGCTAGAAAAGAGACTACAAGAAGCCATGGCAGGTAAAGTTTTTAAAATTAATAGTCACAAAAAATTTATCAATACATTTTTTTAATGCACAATCTGTTACAATACAACACAGGATACTTTTCCTTCCCTTTGATTTATACATTATTACATAACATTTGATTCCTACAAAAAAGATAAAATCAGCCACAGTAATAAACTTGAACAAATTTACATAAGAATATTATAAAACCTTTAAAATGTCAACGTTGAACGTGTGTTTATTTAGTTTTTTTATATTATTAATAAGATACTATGATTAGGAAATAAGACTTCTCCTCCAACGTCGTTCTGGTTTGACGATTTCGAAAATGAAGAGACCACAGGCGAGTAAGAATATTTATATGTTCCGAACGTTTTGTGACTGAACTGTACCTTTATGTCCATCCCTAATGTACGATATATCATCTGTTATTAATACCTGTATTACTAACAATAATGAAAAAATACAGTACAATTTTTGATGGAAAAGTTATTTGCTTTCAATTTTGTATACTGTGTACCACTTACAATCATTATTGTACCTAAATTTTGAACCTTTTTGTTAGAGCAAGATTTAGCCACAGCTACTTTTACACCTAATCCTCCTATTTATAACATAAATAATATTTGAAAAGTTAAAACTACACGTTTAAAATACAAAAAATATATAAAAATACAAGCCAAAATATGCAGATGGATATCGTTAATTAATTTTTAGAAGAAGGGGAAGTATTAACTTAGCTAGCACATAAATATCCCAATCTACGTTAATAAGCTGCAATTCCAGGGTTTTCAAGCTCCCATGCAACTTACTTTTAATGTAACCCTAACATTCTTACAACCGCCGAGTGTCCGCAACTGCAAGACTTTTATGAGGTACAAAATGAAGTTCGGATAACATCACACTAGCAGTTTAGTTTAGTTGTACAGCATTATACTGTATGGACTTAACTATACCTGTAAAAATATTTATTTTAAATTAAACAAAAAGAGTAATTCTTCATAATTTCTTTTGCTTATTAAATAAATACGATTCACGTTGAGAAATTATGAAAAATTACTCTGTTAAGTCCATCCTTGGACACACTATATTGTTGTTTGTGTAACGAATATAGAGAGGTTGAAATTGAGATTATACTAAAATCACAATGAGACATGGACATTTGAAATAAAACAAAATATAAAATTATATAATTTTATTATTAAGATGATCTTGAAATCGAGTACCAAAATCATAAAAGTAAAAAGTTAGGTATATCACAAAGTAAAGCAATTACATATGTGCGATACTATAAGCTACCTATAAAACACAAAACGATTAGACAGAAGTAGATATAAAGGGTAGGTATATAAACAGTATCTGAAAGGTTTACTAGAATCTAAAACTCTTGAATGAATGCACAAAAGTAGCTAAATAGTATAATAAGGTACTTATAGGTACTATACTTATACTTATAGGTACTATTGCAAAGTCTTACTAGAAGCTAAAATGGTAAATGATTGTATAAAAGCAGTTAAAATGTATATTTATATAAGGTATGTTTCAAAGGTTGATGGCAAGTGTGCCAAAGCTTAATCGGTAAATAATGGACTAGGTATATAATATACTAGAATATAGCTGAGCTCTATGATATTTTTCAAATGTATGAGAAAAGTTGTATTTCAAGTTATGTGCACAATTTCAGCCTTAAAAATGTAGTAATACGTGTCAGATACCCTTTTACCTACGTCAAATTTTATAAAATGAGTTACAGCCTTCTTGTTTTCATATTTTTTTAATGTAGAAATAAAAATATATAAAATTGTGAATTTAATAATCGTAGATAAAACTAAATCTGAAAGGTCAGAATTATTTGAAATAAGTTTTTAAATAAATTTGAAAATTTGAAAATAAATCTCAAAAATCCCTCTACGACCATCCCCGCACCCCAAATGTAAAAAAAAATATTTGTAGATTTAAAAAAACCTGTCATTGGCGGGAGTCGAATCCAGATCTTCACGTTTGTTGGACGTGTGCCCTTACCGTGAGGCTATCAACGACGTTGACTGTCGAGATTCCCAAACGGAAATTTAGGATGCTAGTTCTAGCCAGACAACGTTCAGGTTTCTTCTCAAATCCACAAATACCTACAATGCAGCATCGGTGTAAAGAGAAGTGCATTTAAATACATATTGAGCTTATTTTTCGTCTGCGCGAGTTAAGTTTTCAATGTACGTTAAGCGACGTAAACCTGAGTATGAAAATTGTGAATTTAATAATCGTAGATCGCAAATCGAAATCCGAAAGGTCAGAATTATCTGAAATAAGTTGTAAATAATTTTTGAAAATTCAGAAACAAATCTCAAAAATCCCCCTAGGACATTTTAAGACCATTGGCCATTGTCGAGGTCTGAAATCTCACTCTCTCACTCAACGTTGTCTTGGAGATTATTAGCGACCCACATTTCTTTTTCCATTTTTCTCTGACATGTGCAACGCAATTAAGCCAATTTTGTTCAGTGACATGTTGAAATGCTTTATCTATTATTGAACGAACTGAAATCAAAGTTCATAGCATTATAGAGCTTTATCTGATTCCATACCATCTCGATCGGGTTAAGCTCACAGTGACACGGTGATAAGCGTAAAACAGTTACCCCGTACTTTGCAACCATTTCCTCAATCTTATATTATTTGTCGTACTCTGTATTCTTGGATAAAACGCCAAATTTTTAGATAATCTCGTGACGAGAAATATAGGTATTAGTTCTTATAATTTTTAAGTTTATAAAAAAAGTTAGTTGAAAAATTTATTTCATGGAATTATACAACTACCATATTATAACGTAAATGTATGTATCTTTTTTCATTATTGTTAGTTTTATAAAATGTCATTTTACACAAATCACTTTTTATTGTTAAAACACCAAATGAGCAATATCCGTCGTTTTGTGATTACTTGATGATGTAAAATGGCTTTTCTGATAGGTACATTGTTGTTCAATGTGTTTTCTTATTTATAATTAATAAAAAATCTAAAAATGGGACATAGGTTTGATACAACAACTTTTGATCCTTTTGGACCTTCTGCGTGTATTTTTTTAACGAAATTTGGAATATATCTTAAACGCGTTTTTTCTACTGACGAAAACGTTAAGAAAAGCGGTTTAGATTCTTCCAAAATATTTATATGACTCTCAACTAAGAGCATTGTCCTTACGAGTATTTTGTAGTCTTACCTCATAAACTAGATTAATTTAACATTTTCCATAAAAAATGGCCAAATGGTTTTAACGTTATTTTCCGATTTTATACCAATTTCACAAAATAGATTACAAAATCGTTTTCTGCATATCATACCATTCGGTCTTAGGTTCAGAAAAACCAAGTTTAAGCTATGTATAAAAGAAAATATTAAGTTATGTGGTCAGAATCCCTACACCGGAAGTAGAAAAATTAGACCACAAAAAATACCAGCTAAGTCATTTTTTTATTGATCTCCACGTCTGGAAGCTTATTATTTTTCACTGCAAGCAAAAGAATAAAAAAATAGATCACCACTTTACTTTCAATTTCACAGGTCACATGACCGTTCCCACCGCCAAGATGTTGTACAACTTTTTCATCCCCTTCACAAAAAGCTGAAAAAAAAAATAAGACGTGCCAGTTTTGCAGTCAGCCGAGAGACTACTCCAAGATGAATCAACAAAATTTTATCGTTAACGAAGCACTTCCAATAAAGTGATTGCTTGTTCCTTCTGTTATGATGGATTTGTATCAACCATTACTTTGGAGAATCGAAGAACAGTTAATGCTGAATGGTATACAGTTGAAGTCAGGAAAACGTCGCTATCACAATGTCAGCTCTCATGCAGCATGATTCATTACCCGTATTAACCTGATTTATCGCTTAACAACCTCTTTATGCTACTGAATGTCAAATGCTCGGATATTGATTTTAATCACTTTAAGAAGCTGTTGAAGCCTTCAAAACCCATGTTTTAGAGGTACCTGTATCTTTAATATGGAAGAATTGGTTAAAAAGCATACAGAAGTATATAAAATGATTTTCTCCATGGCCACTAGGGAATATAGCTCTTCCTAAACGACTTATAATAACAAAAAGAAAACATTCTCGCTCTTGAGATTAAAAGGAAAAATCTGAAACACCTGCAACATTAATATGTATTTTACACGTAATTCATTTTAACTCTAGAGACAGAATGTTCATTATATAATAGCTATTGGTCAATGACTGTGAATACTACACCCACATCATAGACAATAAATTTCATGACTAATTTTATTATTAAGTTTTAATTTGCCTGAATAAAGATAAGCGGCGTTTGTTAAGTTGAACTTAAATTCAAAAATTTGGTGAATGATTCTTATATGAAATTTTTCTTTGTTACAGAATATACTATTATCCATTTTATTTTTCAATTGTGAGGTATGATAGCTACCTTAAAGAAAGGTATAAATATTAATAAACTCTAACCGAATATAAAACACACCAAAATTTATAACAAACGCAAAACGTGCATACTTCATCCCACCCCATAAAACATTTACTATTATTTCGTAGAAGTGATCATCGATAATAATATCATAGATCTCCATCATTTGTGATCACAGATACTCTTCACCTTCATTATTCTGATGTAATATAAAATGACGATTTTGAAGACAGGCTCTTTTAATCCAAGGAACACTATATAACAATATAGGATTTCAGAAAACCATAAGACAAAGATCAAAACAAAAATATGTAAAGGTCAAAATTAATAAAAATACACCTAAACATATGGATAGACATAATAATAAAAAAAAGGATGAAAAGGAGAGATAATAAAAGAGCAGTGGGAGAAAACGTTGGCTAGATAATTCGAGAAAGTGGCTTGAAAATACATGGTTAGAGAATTGATTAATTTGGTGGTACCTAAAAAAAAAAAAAATGTTACGTTATTACGAACCCAATACGATACTCTGATAAGATAGAAAATTATTTATATAGGGTCGCCAGAGTAAAACGAAACTGAGTCATTATCTGGAACATTAAGTCTTCATAATTCGGAATTGTGTCAACATTTTAGACAAACCTTGGACCCCTTAATAACTGATTGAGGGTCACCTAGATAAACAAATGAAATATATATAAGTTAAACGCCATTTAACATAGGATTTTTTGAAGCCAGTATGTAAGAACGTTCGAGGGTTCTGATCTCAGTGGGGGTATCAAATAATTTTTTCACCATAATCCTAAGGATTGTTTTGTAAATATTTTGTCAAGAACAAATATAAAGGAAAATGCAATTCAAAAATAGTTTCTGCTATTTTTATTCAAATATAATAAATTATATTTAT